TGATACAGAGGTATTATTATTTTTTTAGTGATTTTATTTTATTTTTTGGTACCTGGAATTGAACTCAGGACTTTGCGCTTGTCACGCAGGCACTCATGCCACTAAGCTACATCCCTGGCCCTGTGTGCATTAGGTGTGTTCTGCCACTGAGCAGAGCCTTCTTTTTTTAAGTAACAGCTTTATTGAAGTAATTCATATATCATACAGTTTATCCATTAAAGAGTACAGTGCAATGGTTTTTATTCCATTTAGACTTTTGCAGCCATTACCACAGTCTATTTTGTATTATTTTTATTGCCCTGAAAAGAAATAAGGGCCCATTAGCAATCATTCCGTATTTTTTCCAGCCCTAAAAGACTTCTATACTACATTAACTTGTTTCTCTCTCCCTTTTTTTGTTTTGTTCTGTTTTGTTTTGTTTTTTGAGACAGGGTTTTGCCAAGTAGTCCAGACTGATCTTTAACGCACAGCAGTCTTCCTGTCTCAGCCTCCCAAGTGCTGGGATTACACGTGTGCCACCTTGCTGGACTGCGTTAACTTTTATTACATTAATGTTTTTTGTGGTTTCTTCAGGTCAAGATCTTTTTGCCTTTTTTTTTTTTTCTCTCTCTCTGTTTTCTTTTTTCTTTGTTTCTCCTAAGCAGTGCAGTTCCTGATTTTTGGAGTATTACAAAAAAAATAGGAGTGTCTATTCAAAACTCATGCTGATCTAGTTTTAGTTTACTTTGTTAGGCAAATAAAATGTTTGTGTTTAGCCACTTTTAAAGGAAAACTGAATCTCACTTATCTATGGCTTTTGCTTAAAAATACAAGTGAATGAAAATCTTCATAGTTTGTCAAGGGAATACTATAATCCTTTTCTGACTCGTGATTGTAAATAACATTACAATGATTTTGTAGATATATCATTTACTGTAAGATTAATGGAGAAATTGGTAATCACTAGATATTATGTGCTTACATAATAAATTTATTATGTGATGACTATGCTAATGTTTTTGAAGAATGTTAAATAAGATGGCATGTCACATACAGCTGTTAAGCATTATCGTGTAAAGTTAAGTACTAATTTAACTTACTGAGTTGAAATGCAACTTAGAAACAAAAGAGATAATTAGGGACTACAGTGGTTGAAGGAGGCCTGAACTGTAGATGGTCCAACCAAGGATAAGCACAGTGCTGGGTTACAGTCTAGTGGGAGCACTTGGCCCAAAGCCCTGGGTTCATGCCTTAGGACATGGGAGGGGGTGCATGTATAAGAGCCACAGAAATATACAGGTAACAAAAAATTTTCATTTCAGGTTTGAATGTATAGCTAGAGGGAAAATCATAAACAAATACGGTTCCTGCTGCTACAGTTTCTTTTTAGGAAAATTTCTAAACCATAAGCTTTAGTTTATTCACATGCATAAAAGCATCCAGGATGGGCCATTATAAACTTCAGGTATTAAAATAGAATTAATCTCTAAAAATGATGACTTAAAACATGTTTTTCAGCCGCCTGTCTTGGTTAGATGGTTCCGGATTAGGATTCTCACTGGAATACCCCACCATTAGTTTACATGCTGTATCCAGGGACCTAAATGCCTATCCACGAGAGCATTTGTATGTTATGGTGAATGCTAAATTTGGAGGTATGTATGGTATACTTTAACCTAGTCCTTCCTTTGATACTATTTTTTTTTAAATTTTTTTAATGTATTTAGAACAGGGTCTCACTATGTAGATTGGACTTGTAGTGATTCTCCTGTTTTTAGCCTCCCAAGTGCTGGGATTACAGTCCAGTCTCAGTTACCATCTCAGCACACCCCGGGGGCAGGGCTGGCACTGGGGATCAAACCCTGTTGTGCTCTGCCTAAGCAGGATACTGTGTTTTTAAAAGCAGTCTTTTATTTATTTACTTATTTTTGAGGCAGAGTCTGTGTTGCCTAGGTTGGCTGTAGCACCTCCTGGGTAGCTGGAACTAGGATGTACAGGTTGTCTTCCAAGTGGAGTGCTCGTGTGGTGTACTGCTCAGGCCACCAACCCACTGGTATAATAGTGTATTGAGCAAAGTTTTAGAACAGTGAAGTAATTTGTACACTTGAAGTTCTTATGATGGACATTTAGGTATATCTGCCTTATTTTCTATATATCTGCATTTAAAATTGGTCTGTTACTGTGGGCATGTATTTTCTTCTGGAGCTGACCTTTTTTTTTTTTTTTTTTTGTCTTTTTCTAAAAGCCCCTTAGAGGGTTGAACCAGTATATTTTGTGCTTCCAAGAATGTGGAATAGAATTGTTTTTGTTTTCTTACAGTGGTAGTTCTCAGTGGATGGGTGAGGAGGATTTTCACACACCTCTACTCAAACCTTTCTCACATTTAGCAATGACATTTTGATCACAGGGGAGGGAAGGATGCACTGGCATTTAATTGGATGCCAGAGCTTTTCCTAATTATCTTAAGCACAAAGCAGCCCACCACAACAAAAAGTATCTAGTCCAAATGTCAGAAGTACCAAGCCCTGCTGTTAGAAATGGTTGCAAGGATTCATAAAAATCTAATGAAAAATGTTTGTTTTTAAAATAATGAGTTGCAGGGGCCAGGGAGATAGCCCAGTAGAATAAGCACTCACCTGGCAAACACAGGGTCCTGAGTTCAATCCCCAGTACCACTAAAAAAAAGAATAAAATTAAATAATGAATTGTTTTTCTTTCAAATATTGTATGGCAGACAGTCCCATGTTTGCCTTCTTTCAAACTGGGATTTTCATATGGTTCTAGATATAATCTAACCAGTTATATTCAGCTCTTCTAAGTATTAGCTATAGGACTCTGACAAGCTGTGCTTCGTTAATTGTGCTGTCTGATTTAGCTGCCTGAACGTTTTTATTGTAAGATTTTAAAATCTCACCATTGAATAGTGTTCAAAGAGATAAAAATCTAGGGAAATTTGAAAAGGGGATAAGGAGAAGTAAATAGCATTGACCTTGAGTTGTAGTAAGTCTTCCTAATGAGATACTAGGCATAAAATTAACTCAGAATCTGAGTAAATGTAGCTGTACTTTTAGAACTAGTGCAACAAAACACCTGAAGTGGTCAACTTAATCAGGGAAGGGTTTATGTTGCCTCACAGTTGCAGAGGTTTCACTCAGCAGTCACGTCACCTATGCTTTGGGCCTGTGAGTCAGGGCATCATGGTAGGAGCATGTGGTGAAGGAGACCTATGCACCTTGTTGTGGCCAAGAACCAAGAAAGATGGGACGGGTGGCCTAAGACCCCGTTCAGGGTGTATCTCCACTGACTTACCTCCTACAGGTTCCACCACCTCCTATTGCCCTGTAGACTGGAGACCGAGCCTTTAACTTGGAAGCTTTGCGTGACATTTGCAGTTCAAACTGTAGCAGTGGTGAAGAGAATTGCATGTTGTATTTAAAGCATTCATCCATTCATAGCAATAGAAGACTTGGGTATTCCTGACAGTTCCAAATGTTGGTGTGATTTTTTTTTCTTGTTTTGTTTTTACTGGTACTCTAGGGGTTAAATCCAGGGCCTTGAATATGGTAGGCCAGTACACTACAACTGAGCACACCCTCAAAACCCAGAGCTTTTTTTTAGCTCTAAAATAGCCATAAATATAGACTGAAGCCGAGTGTGATGGGGCATACCTGTAATGCCAGCTCTCTGGAAGACTCAGGCAGGAGGATTTCAGGTTTGAGCCCAGTCTCAGCAACTTTTTAAGACATGTGTCCTGTTGTTTTATTTAAAAAAAGGAGTGTGTATATAACTCAGTGTAAAAGCCCTGAAGTCCGGATTCAATCCCCAGTACCAAAAAACAAAGAATTGTAATAATAGTCAGCTACTTCAATAAATATCCTTTAGGAATTTCTCATAGCTAATTTTGTAATTGAATAAGTGATATCATTAAAAAGTTTTTTATTCCCTTTCTAGAAGAAGTAAAAGAATCTCTGGATGATGATGAAGAGGAAGACAGTGATGATGATGTTGAACCTATTTCTGAATTTAGATTTGTGCCTAGTGATA